CAGATATTCGGTCTAGCAGAGCAGAGTCTGAGTCCATTTTGCTTTTGCTCTGCAGTTCCTATAATTTAAAGGTCCATTTCTGTAAGATTTTTGAGATAGACTTAAAAGGCTGTAATGCTGGGTGGCACAGCGTGATATTCTTATTTACTGGAGGGTTTCACACTTAGACGTGCTGCCAGTTGCTATCGGGGTTTTTTGGCTATATAGTTTTTCTTTATGAATCTGGGCTCTGTTGCAAACATTGCATTCCTCTATTGCCTACAGTGCTTACAATTAAATGTATTATGCCACATGCAGCAGTGCTTTATGTAGGACCTGCAATTATTCTCAAAAGTAAGGTTAAATGTATTATGGTACTGATGTCAAACTTATGTAGTGTTGATATTTACCTGCACAGGGTCGTGTGTGTGGGTGGAGATGGGATGTTCAGCGAGATCCTGCATGGGTTGGTCACCAGGGTCCAAACTGATCACGGTGTGGACCAGAATCAACCAGATGCTGAGTTGGTGCCATGTTCTCTACGCATTGGGATCATTCCTGCAGGTGAGATTTCTCCATTATATTACATACAAGCATTACTAGGGTTTGGAGACAGCAGTGTTATTGTGATTTCATTCAAAGCTTTATTAAAGGAAAAAAAGTCACTTTCAGCTTTTCCCCTTTAGGGGTCGCCACAGCGAATCATCATACTGGCCTCTCACATGTTGACATTTGGCACATGTTTTACGCCGGATGCCCTTCCTGTCACAACCCTGACTTGAACCCAGGCCGCAGCAGCAAGAGCGCTGCGCCTTAACCACTAGCCTACCAGGGACGGCTCAAAGCTTTATTAAAGGAATAGTTCGTTATTTTGGGAAATACACCTCCTTGCATTAGATCCAAGCGTTAGATGAGAAGATTGATGTCACGCTCAGTATTTACATTATTAATGTATTTAACCAACAAATCAATCTTCTCATCTTACTCTTGTCCAAGGAAGCATCTTCCCGAAAATACTGAACTATATATTTTGTTACAGTTTTTCATGGAATTAGTGTAACACCAAAGTGACATTTTATCTCAGTAAGTAGAAAATAGTGTCAAAAACAAAACTGCTTCAAAACTTTAGTAACTTAGTAACTTGTCTTGTGATCCTATGCCTGCAAACATCTTTATGTGAAATTATAAGAAGTCAAACAAGACTGAGTCAAAGAAAAGAAATTGTAGCCTGTATCAATCACATGGTTATTAAATGCAATCAGGTTTCCTTTGTGGTTTCACTTCAGATTTAATGAATTAGAACTTCTTGTTAAAGCTCATAGTTTTGTCTTTACATTCAGTCTTACTCAGAAAAACAGACATCACTTCTCTCTAGCAGCAGACTATGTAGGACAGGTAATGTTTGCATGGCACATTATTATTTGCCAAAGGAACAGGGCATTAACTTTTGCGGTATAACTCTCTGCTGAAAGCATCAAGTTCGCACCAGGTCTCTCACATTTGCTAAAACACTGTTTGGGAAGTGTAGGAAATCACTTTTGACCACATCATGAAATAAATAACATCAAGTTCTGCAGTCACAAATTGAGCACACTTTATGTGTTTGCTGAGATAAACGTTGAATGATGGATGTCAAAGTTTTTCTTAAATTGTACAGGAGATGTGCTAGACTTTCAAAAAATTCTGGAAGAAAAATGAACGCAAATTGAAGAAATGTTATTGATTGCAGTTGTGAGCCTGGGTTGCTGGCTTACATTAGATATTCTCTATGGGTCCAACTAGGGTCCAGGAGAGGGCCAATCATTCCATGTGCTATAAATGGAAGCGTGCTGGGTGACATTTTAAAATAACTTTCATGACTAATATGAGGCTATCTGGGACACAGCATGATTTTAAGCAGTGGTTCACTAACGGAACTGCAACGGGTGTACAGGAAGAGCAGCCTTCTGTGGTTCACCGACATTCGTGATTCTATGGTCTGTGGTGACGGTTTACATTAATCCCTTGGTTGGAGCTCCTGCTGCGCGCGAGCGCGCGCAAAGCATGGTGTCTCGGCTGCAGACACACAGCACCCACAGGCTCTAATGCTTATTTTGGGGGACTTTCACCATGCCTCCCTCCCCATCTCTGCCACCCTCCCAAACTTCACCCAGTATGTTAATTGCCACACAAAGGACAATAAAACTCTGGACCTACTGTATGCAAATGCCAGGAATGCTCTGTCTGTGGGATTGACTGTGGGAGCAATATCTTGTTCCTGATCTCTCTGAAATGCTTGTTTTGTCTGGTTTTTGGGTATTCTTGATTTGTTTTTCAGAGATCCTTGTGGTGTCTGTTGTTTAGTCTCTACTGCTGTTGATATACAGGGGTTTTCCCCATTGTGGAATTAATTGTGGGAGTAATATTCTTCTTTCTGATTTCTCTCAAGTGCTATGTTTTGTCTTGTTTTTTAGGTATCTTTGATTTGCTTCTCGGAGGTCCTTGTGGTGTTTGTTGTTTTCTATTGCTGCTGGAACACTGGAATTTCCCCATTGTAGGATCAATAAAGTCTTACCTTACCTTACCTTACCTTTAAAAATCAGCTGGGGATACAGCACAGTAAATGATTGTTAGGTCAATTACAGCCTTGATTTGCATGTGTTGATTCAACTACTGCCAAAGCAGATGGGAATTAATTAAAATGTTAGGTGTGTAATGTAATCTTTTCATACAAGAGTAAAAAGGTCTAACATCTTGTCATCACAGTTATGCTTAAGCATGTAAGTGTTTTAAGCTGTCAGTGAAAACTCAGGGCTGCTGGGATGAAAGCTCTCAATATAGAGAAGTTGTTCAATATGTGTTTTTAAATGCTGTTGGTGTGTCATTTTAATGGAAGGACTTTTATTGTTAAATGTGGAATTAGAAGCATTTTGCTAACAAACCCTCAAATAGCCAAAGCCGAACCTCTTCTCAGCATCTTAACTCAAAGCATGTTTTTTTGCATGTGAAGCCAAAGCCTGATATAACTTATGTCTCTAAGCCAAAGTGTTGGACTGGATGACATGTTTATACATTATTTTGGACATAGGAACTGTAGTTTATTTTAGATCAATCCCCCATAAACTATTCTGGTGCCATAAATACTTTACTATGGTATGCACAAAAAATCCCCAACAAGTGCAATATTTATCCCTGTTTGAGGAATATTTGATAAAAACTAGTGTCAAGCAGTTTTACAAAATTATTGAATATTTAAATAATAGTCATGGTGCTGTTAAAAGACAGGAACAAATGGGCTTGGGGCCACATGCCACAGACAGGGCACATATATCAAAAAGTAATGAGAGATGGTGTTTTCATCAGAGAGGAAGACATGTCCTTGCTTCTTCTTGTAAAATAATTTAAAATGAATTACTCAAAGGTGTACCTACAACTTTCCTCACCCAGATCTTCACTTTTCCATCCTTCTTTTCCAAATGTATTAATGACTAATGATCAGTAGGTCTTTACTTTATTGATCCTTCTCTTCTGTTAATCTCTACATTGCCAGCCATTAATTAAGTTAAACTTCTTTGACTGTGAAACAGTTTGTAACCTTCTTATTAGAATGTCAGTGATGTGTCAAATAACACTAATGTAAAGTGTCCCCAACACTTTGGCAACACTTCTGCTAAAAGGCAACAATAGCAGGCATAAAGCCTTTACTATAAAAACTGCAGTCTGCTATGGAGCTAAACTTTGATTCTGTGTAGATAACCAAGGACTGTATCTTTACCACCTGGGTGTGACTCATATTTTCATCAGTATAATAATAAATAATGCTTACAAAGTCATACCTGTCTTAGTATGGTATCAAACTCCTTTGTGCCAAAGTTGAAGTTAAGGGTCAAGTATGGCTTTGTCAGTGCTTTTTTATACGCTTTCTGTCAGACATGTCCTCATGGCACCTTTCCATTGCATTGGTTTCATTTATATTGGCTGAAAGGAAATGCCAATTAACCCTGACACATTTAAAGTCAATTATTTCAAAGAAAAACAAGTATGGGTTGTTCACTAATGCCACAGTAAGATACAGTAACAAGTGCAGCCATAAATACATTCATGTACTGAAGATTCAAACTGTAAAAATATCCTTTTCATGGCATCACGAAAAGCTCTCTAGACTCAATTGTTGTCCCTGAGATAAAGAGGATCTCACTGTCAAGATGACTACTAGCAAGACAGTTTTGGGAAGAAATTTAGATTAAAACTGGAACTTCTCTGCAAAGAAGAAGAAAATATGTTGTGTGGCAGCTTATGCTCTCTTCTGAATATGCAGGCTACTGTGGTTGAATAACTTTAGGGGAATAAAACACTGCACATATAAGGGCTGAATGTCATTGAACATCTGTGTGTGAGACTTAAATCCATTCAAAGTCGGTTGGCTTTCACTGGGTATCTTTAGAAGAGTCAGATGGCATATGTCACCCCTTTTATGTTCAGCAAAATAGCAGGCAGTGCAGCGCTGTCAAAAGCAATTGGAAAATGTTCGGATGTGATTATGAAGCTCGGAGGAGGAGAAGCAAAGGCCAGATAGGTGATATTCATAGAAAGTCAGAGGAAAGCAAGAGAGGGAGCTCATCTTCATACTTATTTATGTGTCGCCCACTGAATGACAGGCCTGATCTCCTCTGTCATGCTTCTGTGAGCTAGCTCTAAACATCACTAGTTAGATTTCACTCATCTCTCCTCTTTGCTTCACTCACTCAGTCTTTTATCAGTGGCAGTAGGTCCATTTCACTGCTTGAAGATGATAAAAGTTAGGGCAAATAGGTCTGAAATTACATCATGTGGTGCAGAAAAAGAGAGACTAAGCCTTATTACCGCTCAAGTTGAAAGATTTAATGTCAAACTCAACATTTATCTCAAGTCAGGCGGTTGCTCTTATTCTTCATTTGTTGACTGAAGAGAGTTTATGATAGCACAGGACCTGGAACTATTCAATTAGTTAACCTTATGACTTAAAACATCTCCTTACTTCCCCCTAATAAAAGCAAAGCTGAAATATACTTGGTTGCAGATGTGAAAGACACACATCTGACTTCACTTATGCATAAGAAAACTCCACATCTTTGCCTTCTGTGTATCTTTATTTGCCAGCAGTGCTGCAACATACCTTTACAGTCGGTTCTGATTAAAGCTACAGTATGTAACTTCATATCTGTTTGTTGTAGAAATATGCTCTAAAACTCCTCTTGTGGAGAGGTGCTGTCAAAACATCCTGTGACCCAGATTCATTGAACAGCACTGGCAGCAGTGAAGACTTATTAGCGGTGACCCAGATTCCTAATCTAATCTAATCTGAGATTTTCAATTATTTCTGCTTGATTAGTAAGTTTTGTCATATTCTAATTTCTTGTCATTTCATAATGACAAATATCTGAAGATCTGGGCATAGTGTGGTGAAGTGTAGCAGATTGTTGTAGGACATAGTGGAGCAGACTAAACTCTTCATTATAATTTTTAAATGTATAAACTGAGTAATTTTGCAAACACTGGAAAATATCAAGCATCTGAGTCACTTATTTTATGTGGCAATAGAGTAAGAAACAAACTGAACAACAGAAATGAAGTTTGACCCACCTCTGCAACAATGCTGGGATGGGTTGACCAGCCTAACCAGAGCTGATGCATAAAAATAAACAAAACTGTGACATAGCTGAAGAATCCAATTCCTGGAACCACTTCACAGGGAAACTACACAGCTTACAAAATGTCTCTGGGGATCATTTGAGCATGGTATAAACCATCCATTAGAGTGAAAAGGGAAAGTTTACGTATCCTGCAGAAAATGTTATCAGATGAACTGGTCATGATGCTACCACAGAAAAGACAATAAAATTTGAAATTCTCTACATGTTCAACTTTCTTCACATACTGGCTTTAAACAGTAGAAGTCTGGTATGCAATTTTCATTTCACACTAGCCTTAACATTTCAGTATTGCAATGGCTAAACATCACCTTGTGCACCTCTTGTCGAACAGGTTCCACTGATTGTATCTGCTTTGCTACAGTAGGAGTCAACGATCCAGTTACTTCTGCTTTACACATCATTATAGGTGAGTGTTCCAGATGGTGTCCATATATTAGGTGTTATCAGCACTGTCTAAGATGGTACAAACACCCTCAGAAGGATTATTAGTGTAAACTCAACTGCGTGTGTCTTTAACAGGCGATTCCCAACCAGTGGATGTATGTTCAGTTCACCACAAGGATATCTTCCTCAGATACTCAGTCTCATTGCTTGGCTATGGTTTCTATGGAGACCTACTGACAGACAGTGAAAGGAAGAGATGGCTGGGTCCTGCTAGATATGACCTGTCAGGTATGAGGGCCATCATTTTTTAAACTTGAGTGACTCGTCAAGCTAAGCCTACTTGCACACTTTGACCTTGTAACGCTAGGTAACCTGAAGTTTTCCCTGGGCTTTCTGGTCTCTCTCTGGGTCTAGGCTGTGGAGGATTAATGATCTAACACACAGATAGATTCAGTGCAAATGTTTGTATAGTTCAGTAGTGAGACTCACCGGTATCAACAGTCTCACTAACACCACTAAGATTTCTTCTCTCAGTGATGCTACAAATACTTATACTCATTATACTATAAAGCACTTTAAACGAAGGCAACCACCCTATGATGCAAGTAATGAACCTGGGCTAAATTAAACTGGGACCAACTGTACAGAGGAGAAATAAACCTGGAAACCTGGGGTCTAATTTGTCAAAGCCTGCATGTAACAAAATCTATCTGTGTTTAAAACTGCCCATTTGAACAAGTTTGTATCTGCCAGACCTTCATGCACTGATCGATAACCTTGTCTGCTTGTGCATGTAAAGGCCATATATGGTCAACACATTCCTTTACAAGTCATAGAGCCCCAGAGTGACTTGTTGCTACAAAAGTGAAAAAGAAAGAAAGACACAACAAGACAGAGTCTACAGCCATGCTAGCTCTGTCAGGCTGTTTTTAGGCATTAAGAAATGCAATTAGTTATACACACACATATTTTTTTGATCATTTTTACTCTTGATTGACTTGTCAGGTATAATTAGAGTTGAATTAGATGCAGCAAATAATACACAATGCATACTATGTTTATGTGGCCAACACTGTGCATTTTTCCAGGGTTAAAAACCTTTCTGAGCCACAACTACTATGAAGGCACCATCTCTTTCCTCCCTGCCGAGGATGCCGTGGGGAGCCCCAGGGACAAGCTGCAGTGTCGATCTGGGTAAATTAAGCACCAAAGATATTCATTTCCCTTCTAGCACTGTTTTACTAACTTATCTGATGTGGTTCAATACTAGCGGTGCACTTGCCAGATCCTAAATGGGCTAAATGAGTTTACATTGTCACAAAGCCTATCTGATTTATTGTGGACCATTTGGTCTTTGCCAAAAAATTTAATGCTTTGCGGGAGGCAGTGTACAGACTTTGTTTGCAATTGTTATCAAGGCTGAAAACCATTAATCAGCAAAAATGTGGTTTTCTGAAAACCTCTTTTACCATAAAAAGTATAATATGCTATAGCATCCCTTTTTTGTTATAGACCTCTTTGAGCATTTCTAACCAAATCTTCTAATACTTAAATGTTTAAATACATGTATATGCCAGTTTAAGTTAAACTGAATTTACCTGTTTAAGCGTCTTAAAGCTTTGGCTATCACAGCAACACTGATGGTGTGATGATTGTAAAAACAAGGTGATGCTAATGTTTCAGGTGCCATGTCTGTCAGCACAAGCTTTCATCAAAGGACAAGCAGTGGGACATATCAGAGAGGGAAAAGCCTGATAAAGGTACTTGAAATAAAACAGAAAGAAACAAGGTAGAAGAATAAGGAATATGCTTTTATTATGATATATTTCAAGATAAAGGTACTTGAAGTATATCATAATAAAAGCATTTTCCTTATTCTTCTACCTTGTTATCTGCTTGTTTGTCTGTTATGAAACTATTTCCAGACCTCTAAGATGTGTGAAGATTTCTAAAGCTTTAGTTTGAGAGAAAAGACCAAAAAAAGGGAGAGAGGAGACAATCCATCACTGGTGGGTTTTTCCTTAAAGTCACACGCAAACAAAGCATGAGACATTTGCATTTGTCACTCTTTTTTGGGGGTAGATGGGTAGACTGACTGTAAATAGCCTCGTAATATCTCTCAAATTTTGCCTCATTTCCATTTTCTGTTGGGGCTGTTTTTATTCTGCAGCATGGAAAAATTCTTGATAAGTTATTGATGAGAAAATATTAACTGATTTTAGTGAAACTGCACCGCTACCCCCTCATGTCCCACTTGAGCCTTTTTGAACTCCAACATCCACCCCTGTGTCTGCTTGATAAAATTACTTGTACATCTTCCCCAGCCAGACTGGTGTATGTCTGTCCTCTCAGCAAGATGGACAACGTCACCTTCTCTTGCCTGTCCCACCAGCCATGGTGCACACACACGCACTTCATTATCTACAATCCTCTCAACTCACCAACATGACAGCACAAACCTCTGGAGGCAAATGAAATCCTGACTCCTGTGTGTGTGCACTGGCGCATGTTTGTGTGTGAGGTTTGAGCTGCCAATGAGATGTGCGTGTTCTTTCCCCTTACTAATTAGTGTTGTGATGTTAAATTCAATGCTATCTGTGAGTGGTGCACAGATAGCCTATAGAGTGTGTGTGCCTACAGTTTTTTCTAGTGTAAATATGACACAAGTGTAACCTGTTTGTGTATGATGTGTGACAGACTCCCAACTAATCAGGAGGAAAGTTGGCTTTGCCTGCTCTGACGGGGTTTGCCTCACACCAGTGCTGCTGTTTGTTTTGCTTTTTTTCCTCTTCCTGGCGAGGGAAATCTCAGACAACTGCTAAATCAATGAGGCACGACACACTCGCTTTCTGCAAATGAGCCAGCCTCTTCTCCAAAAGCAAATACTCATTTGGACACGTTCTCCTAATGCACAGCCTACAGTCCACAGTTAAATCTGTTTTTGTTTGTTTGTTTGTTTGTTTGTTTGCTTATTGGATTGTTTTGTTTGTTTTATTTTAAATGTAGCTTTAATCACTGCTACCCAATTAAAATACTGTTGTTTTTAATGCAGCCTCAGTGGACTTGTTATAATTGGTTCCTGTTATCACCTCTGTATGTTTGTTTTGCAAAATGAGGGGGAAAGGTAATGAATCGTATTGCTTTCCCAGATCACATAATTTTCCCTCTGAGGTACTCATAAAATAGTCAAATGCTAATTTGAATGTCTGTGATCACTTTTTGCAACGTACGCCAGTGCCTGGTGACAGGCACTGACAGTCCTGTGGGTAATACTGTGTCTTTGCTACACAGTCACTTGTAAACAGTCACTGGTCTCCAAGGAACAGTGTGGTGATTTGTGAAGTGCAGCCATTGCATCTGTCATTCGATATGTGGATGGCATTTAATCATTCATAACAGGAAAAGTTAAGGTTCACCCTGTCTGTTTTCAATGTATAACACGGCAGATATTGTGAACCATTACATTGCCAAATTTAACATTCAGCTTTACTAAATTGCTTTCAGCATCAAAACTTCCATCTTGGCACAGTCATCAGGGTAAAGCTGCACTGAAGATTGCTGCCAAGACATCTGGGTTTTAATGGACCCTCATCAATATCACTGCTGTTGTGTGACAAGCTTGGAACCTAACTTCAGGACTCATAAAGCATTTGCGAAATACAGAGTACGATTTCAAAACCAGCTTCCTGGCAGTAAACAGATTATTCACCTCAGTCTAGCATCAGCAACCTTGAGGCTGAAAGGAATCAGGATTTTGAAGCTTATTCTCCTATCTCTTATCTAACTTGTAGAAGTAAGGCGCTTAAGGCTGGCAGTATACTCCAAACAAAATCAAATGTGGCATTTTTGTGAATGCTGTGGAACTGAATACTGCATTGCAAACAGTTTGCTGTACAGTATATTCACTGCTACTCAAGGTCTGTTCATTCAGTGTCAGTGGAATGCAACTATTTGTGTACACTGCCAGCTGGGACCCCTAAAAGAGGACATTTAAAGTATTTCTACATGACCTCTTTAGCAAGGTTCAGTTGTGCAGTGAAGAACAATCCTGTTAAAGTTTCACAGGTAAGTTCAGTAAAATACTGGAAACTTGCTTCAAAGGACAAGTTTTAAGAGAGTTTGTAATTAATGTTTTACACTGTTGCATATTACCATAACAGCAATAATGCCAGTGAACGTGGGTTCTATTCTCTCACTTGGTTTGACTCCTTTTTAGTTGTAAAAAAAAAAAAAACTGCTGAGAGACCGGTTTTGCATATCAGAATGCTCCATAGAGTGATTTAAGAGGTTTTTTGTGTCCACAGCTGTGGAACTTGTGACATTTGACACTTGCTTGTTTCCTGAGATACAAGTTCTGCTTTTGCATAATGTGTAAGGCTTTGGTTCACATACTGTACGTTGTAGTTGTATTTGTTGCCTGTTTTTATTGCTTCCATTTCAAGTGTATCACTAATGGTTGGCTTTTCTTGTTATTTATTCAAATTCCCTTTTTTAACTTACAGGCATCAAATAGAAGAATGCACAAAAGTAAATGTGTATTATAGGGTGGCACACTAACTACAGACGTCTCTGTTTCAGATGGCAGTGGTTGGAATGTGATGCGTGGAAAGTTTATTGCCATCAATGCAGCCAATATGAGCTGTGCGTGTCCCCGCAGTCCTAAAGGCTTGTCGCCTTCGGCCCACCTCGCTGACGGCACATTGGACTTAATCCTTGTCAGGAAATGTTCCCGTTTGGACTTTTTCAGACACCTTCTTCGACATATCAACACAGATGACCAGGTAGGAAAAAACCACTTCCTGCTAACATGTATTATGTTTAGCTGCACTGTATGATTAAACATTTTCTGTCACCACTTTTTTCTATTTTTTTCCCCATACCAAGAAAGTAAAAGAGCATAAACACTGTGTAAGAACCATGCTGTTGAGAATATTCCAGAATTGAAATGAGCATAATATATACTGATATACAGTAATTTGGATGTAGCAAGGATAAAACAACACTTTTGAGATGATTTTGTCCTTGCTAAAAAGCCTCCCGCCGATCACTTTTCAGCAAAACAATCTGTGCACAGGTGAACTGTGTTAAGTCTGTAAACAAGCAAGCGGATGCAGTGTGCCCTCTTGCTGTGCTAGGACCTCCATTTGCTGACTCTGCTCAGTTTCTCAGCTATGGTTCACTTTAGTTCAAATGCCTTAGCCCTTGTGCCTTCCCACATATTATAAATAACCTCCACCCTGGTCCAGAGAGGCACCTGTAATCGCTGCAATAGGGATATGTTGTATGGGAAACAGGTTGATACTAGAATATTGCCCTGTCTTGATAGCACAAATATTGCCAGGGGAAGTCTGGTGATTTGTAATTATTACCTCAGGATAAACCTTGAGAGGTTTTCTCCCATTTATATGGATCTTATATGTAATTTCATCTAATACTGACATCCTGAGGCATATTTCACTCTACTGTATAAGATCACCATTTTGATTTTTATATTATTTGGATAGTATTTGATTAAAAGGATGAATATTATTATTGTAAGAAAGTTAGAGCAGGATATAATGCATATGCAGCTTTACAGTTCTAGGATTCAGCAGCTGAAAAGACAAACAGCTCAGAGCCAAGCAAAACAGAAAAAATAAGAAAGTCACTTTCGGCTTTTCCCGTTTAGGGGTCGCCACAGCGATTCGTCACACTGACGAATCGCATGTTGACATTTGGCACGTATTTTACGCCGGATGCCCTTCCTGACGCAACCCTGATTCAAACCCGGAGCGCAAAACAGGAAAAATACTTCAGAAAAATCATGCAGAGGTTGTTGCTATTACAGTGAAATTGAGCAACTTGAAAAAAGATTTTGTGGCTCTGTGTGACATGAAGCGTGTCCCTGGATTGCTTCAGTCCCAGTGAAATATTTTACCATCCAGATGACTGAATGAAATTACCAAAATCCATGGGCAGAATTAAATTATCAGTTCCCTGGTGATCTTACTGCAGAGAGGCCTTAAAAATAATTTTATGATAAGAGGATTTCCACAGTATGCTAAAATCTACTGCTGAGAGTCACCAGTAAGCTGTTACAGCATCTGTCTAAGACACAATGGAAATTTTGATTTGGGTCTAAGGGTAACATTTTCACTCATTCAGTCCACTACTTAGTTCTGGACAGAAATACATCAACTGTTGGATGGCTAGCTATGACATTTTGTTGTGTGTCAACAGCACATTATCTTTTTTTTTTGTTTTGTTTTACAACTATTGGATGAAGTAACGTGAAATTTGGTACAGATATCCAGATGAGTCTGAACTTTTTTAAGCTTTGTAATTAGTGCTAATTAGCAAACTTTAACATGCTAACATACTAAACTAAACTCAACAGCATGTTAGTACACTGACATTAGCTTTTAGCTGAAAGCATCACTTGCCTTAGACAACCTTGCTGCTGCTACTTAGTCACATTTTGCTTTTAGTCATACTTATTTGAATGGCTCTTTATAATGGATTAAAAAAATATGATAACGTATTAATACAGAAAGTGAAGGTATGTTGCACTGTGTTGATTGTTGGGATGGGGGTGCCATTCTTGGAGGTATGTGCTCTATTTACCTACATATATTCTTGTTTTGTTTAGCTAAAAAGTTGCTTAAATTGTTTAGAACTCAATTTACTGACTGTGGTAATTCATGTTGGATAACCTTAGCTCTCGGTTTGGAAGTGTCGTGGCTAGAGTGTGATGCCGACTAAATTAATTCAGACAAACCATCTCAATTTAAATGATCATTTAATATTACAATTATCCTGAACAGAGTAGCAGTTGAATAGATAATATGATAGTTAGGGAAACAGAGAACAGATGGAATGGATACAGTATTAAAGAAGAAGATTGTCAGAGCGCCAGTCAGTCTTAATTCAGCGTCCCCCTAGCCGGCTGGGTTCCCCACAAAGTATACTTTCCCTGTCACAGTAGCATTGTCATCCTCTCTTCTTCTCTTCTTCTGCTCTAACCCAGCTTTTTATCTGCTCACACTTACACAGCCCTCCATGGCCTGAGCCATGAAGACACGGTCCCATGCCAGCTACCCACACACCTTCTTCCGAGCATTGTCTAGAAATGTCCAGTACATGAACTTCTAGGTCGCACTGACCTAGCGCACATTTCCTTTTTCTAAACCTGAACAGAGCACACGAACAGTTCACATAAGGCTACAGCTACAGTATATCCAGTTCCTATCTGAGGAGGAAGTCACTCAGGATGTTGACCCATAGGTTAATCAAGGGGGACACAGCCCAAGATATTCTTGCCTGCGCCAGAAACAGATCAAGCTTCTGTACACACTGAGCTCAGCCTTACATCCTTACACAACTAACACAAATAATATCTAAATATGAACTACATACTGTTCTATTACATATTACCTCTGGAACCTTTTTATTGTTAACCACGACAGTCCCCCCTTCCATAGTTTTTAAACTATGGGACTTCGGAGCTCAGACTAGGGAAAATCAAAATATGACCATGTTGGCCTGAGACTTTAACGCCTCTAAACTCTAACAGTTGTAGTTAAACACTGACCTCTTCCTACATCTAAAGTTAAATCTAAAATAATTTCCTATCACAGAACTAACAACTCCTCAATAAACCTTTAACCTCAGCAGTCTTTCTCACATACTCTAATGAAACCCAACTTAAACAACTCAGTCAGTCAAGTCTCTAACGTCTCACACCTTTTCAAATTTAGTAGTGATTAACTATGGTGAATGAATCAACTGTATAAAATGACACATAACTTCCTATTCATAACAGATTCAGACAAATGAACAAACATGAACATAAAAGTAACAACAATAAACAGAAATAAACAACCGACTTTGTTCCCCTTGTAAGATAAAAGTTCATGACAGAAACATTCATAAGCACATATATCTGAATACCTCACTTCCTAATCAAATACTAATACTTCCTAATACTAATCAATGAGCCCAAGTAACACTACAAATCACTAAATAAACCTTATCTTCCTACCTCATCCAAAAGGAAAATAGAGATCAACTTTTATTACAGAGACAAACTTTTGATCTAACAATAAGTACTGTTTTAACATGACAGAACTCTCTACTTTCTAATTTCTAATTTGCTAATTTCCACAACTTTCTAATTTAACGTATAACACACTGAAAATAAACAGTCATAGAAAAAAAAGAATAACTGACCAGGTGATCCTCTTTCCCCCACACATAACAACAGAGTTTCAATGACACACACGTCTGTACTGTAAAACAAACGGCTTCAATTCTGCTACAATTCTTTATTCACTGCACATCCAGACAAAAACCCTGGAGGGCAAAATTTCTGGACGATCCCCATTCTTTTCTTTTGAGACGTAAAAAATTCCAGTGATGACGAATGCTGGGGAAAACCGTCTCCAGGCTTCTTTTGGGCGATGACCAATAAGGCCTGCAGTGAACCTCATTGTAGGAACCAGACATAGTGTAAATCCTGAAACTGAACTCAAAATACAACATAACTGTAACACAAACATTCTCTAACCAAAAATCTTCTGCTGAGAGATAAGCTGAGATGAAAATACTCAGTGACAATTAAGTAGTGAATATATGACTTGACAAGATACTAATAACTGCTATGCATGAATTGTGTACAGTATGAGTGTATAAAAATATACTGTCCAAGTCCATTGTCCTTTGATCAGTTCAGCTCCTTGCAGTTTCACTCTGTCACCACCTGCTTTTTTTCCATCCTCACCGGCTGCAGTGTCTCTCCCTCGACTGCTCTAAGCATGACTGACCTCAGTACTTCTGACTTGCACTCCCTCCTCATGAGGGTCAGATAGATGGGAACACACTTGGTCATAACCAGTACTGTCATCAAGGGGAGCATCAGCTTCACTCGAACTCCCTCCTCATCCAAGGAGTCCATTGGATCACATCTTCTCCTTATCGAATCAGG